AGTATGTGATTTGTTAGTATTTTAAGGACATTTTCACGATTTTTGTCTCCCACCCCACCCCCCTTCTTAGCTAAAGCCCAACAATCTAGAAATCTTTTCTAAAATTTATTAAATAGGCATTTGGTCAAAAATGAAGGCTGGCATGTCTTTTTATGTTTATAAATACCCCCCCCCCTCTTACGGCTCTAATATGAACAGTAAGAGAAAAGTGGGGGGGAGGGGTAACTCTTGGGGTTGGAGGCTGTAGATGCAAGTCTCAAAAGAGTCTAGAATTCATATTGAACTGAATTAGAAGTACTAATAGTTTTTTTTTCCAAAGCTTATATCAACTCACTGTCTATCTGTAAGGTAAATAAGTTTAAAGATGTTATTTCTCCCACACCCAATCTTGGATTCAACTGATATTTTGCACAAATATTTCCCTTACCTGACAACACAAGAATCAATTTTAAAAATTACCAATTGGTTAATTAACTATTGACAATTAATTATATTGTTTGGTAACTTGAACAAGGGAAAGAAATCATACTTGACAGATGGGGTGGAATAAGTTGAATAAGTCCCCCTTGAGGACTCTTGAGCCCTAAGTGAACATTTTTTTATACATTTTAAAAAAAAAAGGATCATGTATACATTCACCAATATTCCACATTCTCCCCTTCCCCTATCACAACTGGTCCAGACAAGTGATAGGATCATATTGCAACTGGAAAGCTAAAAGCTAAACAAAAAAAATGGACCTCATTCATCAATCGTAAACAAACAACATTGAGTCACGTGCTTCTCTATCTCTTCTATTCAAATTAAGATCCAATTTTCATTTAATCAACAATGGTTATCACGTGACAGTTTTTTTTTCCCGTTGTTTGAACGTGACTGTTCGTTTTGGTGAAAGAGATCCATTGGTAAAAATATTTCTAATCGCACATATTTATTATGTTTACGATGTACATAGCTGATACAAATAACACTTATTATAAGCTTTTTTTTTTTAAAGAATTTTTTAAAATAATTTTCTTTTAGTCATTTGATTCGTTGTCAGGTTATGAAATTATTCCGCAATATTTAACAAGAAAGAGACTGCACCTTATTAGAATTACGGACCTTCCTGTAGATAAGACAATTGGTATTCCTTAAATATATACCTTGCAATTACTTCACTTTTGGTTGTCGCGATTTAAATTCACTTATTTAAATCACATATTTAAAAAATAATTCATGAAAAAAATGGCAGTCATGGTTACATGAGCAAGAACTTCTTTGAAACATGTGAGTCTTTCAACGTCTGATGTCAAAATTTCTCAATAAGAACATTATTTTTTATCTTTGACCTTTTCAAATTCTTCGACGTACTTCCTGTCTCTAAGCTCCGCCCAATGTATTACTACATTATGACGTCATTTCATAACATAGATTCGCCTATTTTAATTATTTTTTTCTTCCTTATTTTGATCATTTTTTGCTAAAAATATAACAACATATTTATATTTGTTCTAATGTTCAGATGAGCATCGTTATGAGGAAGTGGCCGTTGGTCAGAAAGAAGAAAATCTGTACGATAAGCTGGTCTACAATGAGGTAAGAAAGCTTGAGCCTGCAAAATGTGTACATAATGCACTAATATATTGGTGAGCCTGTAAAATGCGTACAAAATGTATTAATATATACTGGAGTCTGTACGACGACTACAAACTGTACTAAAACCTATGTTGTTCAGTTGTTGTTACCATTCGTTATCTTGTAGCAACAATACTGTTGGTAGACACCTTATATATCTTGTAGCAACAATACTGCTGGTAGACACCTAATATCTCTTGTAGCAACAATACTGCTGGTAGACACCTAATATATCTTGTAGCAACAATACTGCTGGTAGACACCTAATATATCTTGTAGCAACAATACTGCTGGTAGACACCTAATATCTATTGTAGCAACAATACTGCTGGTAGACACCTAATATATCTTGTAGCAACAATACTGCTGGTAGACACCTAATATATCTTGTAGCAACAATACTGCTGGTAGACACCTAATATATCTTGTAGCAACAATACTGCTGGTAGACACCTAATATATCTTAACTAATAAATTTGAATGGACTTGAGGAACTTTCTTGAGAACAATACTGCTGGTAGACACCTAATATATCTTAACTAATAAATTTGAATGTAACTGAGTAACTTTCTTGAGAACAATACTAAATAGAACTTTAATTAAAATATAGTCAAAATCAACTTGTGATAAAATGAAAGAAATGTGGTATTTAGACATAATACTTTTTTTTAAAAATTTAAATCGCAACAATAACACAATCTTTCAGTCTCACGTTTTGGAGTCGTCTGTTTTAATTAAGACCAGATGACGGTAAATGTCACCTATGTTAAGACCAAATGACGAGAATGCTACCTATGTTGTATCATTCACAAACAATCGCTTATCTCTTCCCATCGTCACCTAGAAACACACACACCCACCCACATGTAAGTCTGTAAGATGTGTACCGAATGTATTACTTACTATACATTGGTAAAGTTCAATGTAACTTTTTTAGTCAAACATTTTTCTTTGTGATTTTTTTATTCAAATACATATTACTATTGCTACAGCTTGTTCACTGCGTTCTGGTACAAGTAGAGACAAAGAGAATCTGGGAGAATATTTTTGTGTTTTATTTAAGCACGCGGCAAACTGAGACCATTCGTAATAGAAGGCCTCAACACTGACCTGCTACGTCACTACCTGTGGGCAATGGAGATCAATAGCTCCTTGCCACGTCGTACAGACCACGCTCTAGGACTTGTGTGATATGATCTGTGTGATAGGACTTATGTGATAGGACCTGTGTAATAGGAATTGTGTGAAAGGATCTGTGTAATTGGACGCAAGATAGGACTTGTGTAATGGGAGCTGGGAATAGGACCTAAATGATAGGACTTGTATGATCGGACCTGTGTGATAGGGCCTGTGTGATAGGACCTGTGTGATAGGACCTGTTTGATAGGACTTGTATGATAGGACCTGTGTGATAGGGCCTGTGCGATAGGACCTGTGTGATAGGACCTGTGATAGGACCTGCGTTATAGGACTTGTGTGATAGGACCTGTGTGATAGGAATCGTGTGATAGAAGGGTGACAGGATCTGTGTGATAGGACCTATGTGGTGGGAGCTGGGAATAGGACCTGTGTCACCCGTGTGAGAGGACTTGTGTGATAGGACCTGTGTGATATGACCCGTGTGATAGGAACTGTGAAAGCGTATGAAATGTCTAAGTTGAAAAAAAACAACTGGAATAAAGTTTTACTTTAAAAAAGAAATTATAACCACTTGCTTTTAAGTTAATTAATAACATGTCTTTTCGTCTGTATTTATTTTCTTTCTAGCTTTAAAATTAAAGAGTCTAGAATCCTCAAAAAGATTATTGTCATCGCTTCTTTTTTCCCCATAAAGTCAAACTAATAATTATTCAAAAATAAAAACATGTTACTGAATGGGCTTTTCAAATTACATTCCTATGACCTACTTTAGTTTAAACATGATCTGCTGTTCTTAAAGAATATATATAAGTATATACCGCTTTAAGAAAAGAACTCTTTTTAGTTTTCACTTTTGTTTAGATATGTAAAAGCTCCTCTCTAATACAGACACGTATCTCTCCAAATGTCAAGTGAAATTGCTTATCGTAAGAGAGAGAGAGAGAGAGAGAGACAATAAATGAAGAGGGTATCCTAACCTGGCCTCTTTTTCTTTCAACCCGTCTGAATCAAAACTACTAAGTCAATATAAAACACTAAAGTATATTTTGAGACTTTATATACTTGATCAATAGAATAGCAATAAAAGACCAAATGCAAACTTTATGGCTGTATATATGAGAATATAAAAATATGAATAATGAAATAGAAAAAAAAACATTTTAAAACATTTAAACAAAATTGTTTTCTAAAAGCCTTTCATTCTCAATTTTTAGTGGTAACGAATTGGTTTCCGTATTTCCCCAGGATGCTAAAGAAATCAGTACCAGACTTCAGTCTATCGAAGACAATCAGGAAAAAATGGCAGCTGAATTCCGAAGTCATTATCAATTTCTTATTTCTGAGATTAAGAAGCTACAGGACGCCCTCGAGGGAGTCAAAACAAGCAACATTAACCTACAAAAGTCCCTGGTGGAGTCGTCCACGGTGGTACAAGAAAGTGTCGAGTCACTGAAGTCACAGTTCCTGGAAACGTCTGACCATCTAGGTCAGCACGTCCTACAAGTCAGGAAGGACATCGTCGCCCTATCAAAGAGAGACCCCAATTCCCCGCCGCCTATATGCGGGTTTGAGTCGCCTAGTCACCACGGGGCCACCGACACTAGGGTCAAGCACATGTTTGAGTGGGATATTCAAAGCGTGGACAACCTGGTCAAAACACAAGGCCACGTGTCCAGTCACTCATACCACATCGGCGATCTGAACTACAAGGTCCTGGGAGGTGCGGAATTCCTCAAAGATAGCATCATGTCCGTTCGCATTTACGGGGAGTCTACTCATCCTTCGGGAACGGACCACCTAACTAAATCCGGACGCTTCGAGTGCAAAGTGATGGTGATTGACCGGTCCGGTAAAATGACGGACTGGCTGATAGGCAAAGTGGTTGGCAATTTCTTCAAAGAAAAAATGTGGATGGTTGGAAATGTTAGCGTACCAGAACTTAAGAAGAAAAACTATTTAGCTCAAAACAAAACCCTAAAGTTGAAATTTACCATTGACATTTTCAAATGAAATTCACACAGATCAAACAATCATATATATATATATATATATATATATATATATATATATATATATATATATATACATCATTATGCCCGGCCTTAGGCGAAGTGAGTTTGGTGGCTCTAAATGAAACAAAAATAGATAATTAACACCAAAATAATGAAATTATGCAAATTATTTAAAACCTACTTGTATCTAAATCTATGTCAATTATTAAGTAAAATTCACTTAGACTGTAACATATATACAATTACACAATATATCCGTGCAGCTGTCATTAACTTTCAACAAACCAGAGTCGAAATAAAGTGGTCTTATAACCTAGGTATCCTAACAAGTGTATAAACCTCAAGTCAAAGTAGACACTTAAAGCTATTTGACATAAAGACATAGAGCTCTGGTAAGTCTAAGAATTGATCCAAGTTTGGGAATTTTTTTTTTAAACTACGAGGCCTCAATTGATTGGAGGACCTAATGCTTTGCCTAAGCCTAAGGCCGACCCTGATACCTTACTTTACCACATTGCAAAGCCAATTTATTCATTCTCTATTTATGTTATTTTGACATATGTCTTGTTAGTCACAATAAAGCTATGTGGCCTACATTAAAATAAAATACTGGCAACAGAAAAATAAAAATATGTTTATACATTAAAGTTGCACAGTTAAAGTTTGCCAATAGAACAGAGAACTTAACAAGTAAAATGTTCTTATTTATTTTATTATTTTTGTGCCAAAGAAATATTAAAGATTTTATTCATCAATAAACTTCATAGTGTTGACATTTTAAAAAAAAGTAAAGTTCCCCGTTCAGACCTTGCTATCCGAAAAATCAGAGATCGTATATCTGCAAATATTTTTTAAAGTAATTGTTTTTTAAACACCTATATTAAAATCACAACCTTATGGAGGGTGGAATCTTCTGGGTGTGTGGAACATGAGCACGGATCTCGAAAACGTCTGAATCGATTTTTCTTAACGAAGTACCTCCTTCACTCCTAATCGACGGCACTTTTGTTGATTCGACAACAATAAATTATATTTTTGGTTTTATAAATATCAATTCGTGTTATTTAAATAGTCTATAGAAAATAAAATATGTTCTGATTACTAAGTTATGAAAGTTTATTCACAACAGAGAAGTAAGCTGCCAATTAGCAAAATGAATAATTTCGTCGGATCATGGAAAATAATTACGGAAAGAATAAGTTAATTGTTGATGTATATCGCTGAGAAAATAATTGCTAGCTCGTTGGCCACACAGGGAAAACCGTTACATTTTGTCAAACTAAAAAAGGAAATAATTTCAAATTTGGCAAGAGAAATAGGCTTAGATCTAGATTCAACATAGGTTTTGAGAGGACAAGCGCGATGCAATGTAAAACGGTAAGATGGAAATTACTTTTTTTCTAGACTGTATCGGCACTTAATGAGACTTTCTATTCTCATCGCCATGTACAGTGTCATTGAGAATTAAAAGAACACAAAAGCAACTCTTTGGATTGGTAGTCTTTACTGAGTTTACTCGATCGCTTTCTTTCGTCATAAAAAAAATATTTTTTTTAAAATTGAGTTAGTCTAAATATCTTTCCTTAAATCATTCAACCGAGTGAGGCTCGTCGCCTGGCACTGTAGGGCATTAGTGATTCAAGAGTTTAATAAATTAATTTTTGGATGCGCATATCTACACAAGTGTCTGAGTGAAAGTGATGTCCAAAGTGGTCTAAATAGACCCCCAGGCAGGGCCGGCCTATGTGGCCGCAGTTGGCCCTGCATTTTCATATGCCCCGCGCTAACTCTAGTTGTAAATTATTTTTTAAAAAAACGGCATTGTCAGCTTTCAGAAAAAAAAAAAATAGGGCGAATAGTAACCAAAATAGTAAGTTTCAATGCTTAATTTACTATAATAGTCAATGACATTTAAATATAGTTCTAAATCTATCTCGATCTTTTTAAAAATATCAAAAGCGATATTTTGGTAGTCGATAGTAAATCTAAAAGGCAGATCTGAATGTTTATCAGCTTTATGTTGGAAATCTACCTTCTAGTGTAGATGGCTCGTAAAACTAATTTGACCGTTTTTTTGTACTTAGTAACGTATGAATAAAATGCAAAGACGAATTTATTTTTTTTTTTAAATCTTAATTTTCACTTATTATCCTTATCCCTACCCAGGCTACGCCCCGCGCTATCCATTTCGCATAGAGCCCAGCAATCTGTAGGACCGGCCCTGCCCCCAGGGGTCTACAAGGTCTTCCAAGGGGCCTACAAAGTCAAAAAATAAATTGGGGGTCTATGAACTGTAAATGGGGAGTATACGATAGTGGGACTCATTTAAGAATATACAGACTTTATAAATGTTCTCATCAATGACATGTAGATCTACCTTAGTTAATTCTTTGAATTGTAATCTTGTCGAATGGCAGCAGGGTTACAATGATTTTTTTTTTATTTTATTTTAAATATTTACTTTTGTCTACATGAAAGTAATTAATTACGTGGCCGAGTCTACAAAGAACTGTAGAAAGTACAGCTTTGGGTATAAGAAACAGGGTAGAAGAATGAAAAGTGATGTAGCAATAATACATTAAACGCTAAACCAGCGGTTCTCAATCTTTTATGCTCGGCGACCCCTTTTTACAATCCACCACTCTGCCGCGGACCCCCCTCCCCCCCACACACACATACAGCAATAGAAGAGTAGACAATTTTCGATGGTCTTAGGCGACCCTAGGCAAATCGTCATTCGACCCCAAAGGGGGTCGCGACCCACAGGTTAAACCATAATTTTCAAATACAAAAACAAAACCTAATAAAAGACACCGAAAGAGACAAATGCTAGAACAAATGGGCACAAATGCTCTTCTTCCCTAGTGCTATTAGAGAATGGAGTGGAATGACTGAGCCAGCCAGGAAAACCAGTGACTTGGAAGAATTTAAGTCATTGGTTAATATACAAGACTATGCATGACTCGTAGGACGTAATCATCTTTTTTTTTTTTTGAAGTAACGTCTGTATTTTATAAGATAAGATAAGACATTTTTCTTCATTCCATTCCTTGTCGAACAAGCCGTTTCTTTGTGCTTTTTATGTAACAAAGTTTTAAGATAAGTCGCTATGAAACCATCTAAGCTGGAACATCATTTGAGACAATGCTAACATGATAAATTAGATTTAGATTTGAAATAATTTACAACACTTTAAGTTCAGAATAGAGCCACAGTAGAAAAAAAAATGCTTGATTTAACACCACAAAAGAGAAGAGGTTTGTGAGTGTCTTACAATATATTTTTACTTAGGCCCATATCAAACTCAAGAAAACTGCATCCTTTTGTCACAGTCTCGGTTGACAATGCTTGCTTTATGTTCACATCGAGTCATGAGGGTGAAAGACACGTGAAACTCCAAATATAGAAACAGGAAGAAAGAATGACTAAATTGACTCATAGCCAGTAGTAACCTTAAGGGTCGAGAGAGTGGCCACTGACAGTTGGTAGTATCTTTTGGTCACTTGAAGAGAGTAGTATCCTTTGGGGCAGTCGAAGTCAGTGGTCACTTGAGACAGTACATTTATCTCTAGTAGTTAGTTTTCTGTACTGCGTAGTCGTTATTGTCACCCGCTATGATGCGGACGTGATATAATAAGTAAAGTTACAAGTATATCTATTCCTGAGGACTTAGTATATAGGAGATGTTTGATACCGCTGTTATACGGACGTAACTATATTTCTATGCATTGGAAAATTGATTTTCCAGCCATTGAAGAGGTTTTACACATTGCATTATCTAATATCATGACAAGAATGCCTCTAAGAAACAATACAGTTCAAAGCTGTAATATTAAGATGACTTAGGACACTGAAAGGTTCTTATTTAATTACTTGTAAACGACATACTTCTAAACAGCAAAGCTGGACTAGTTAACCTTGTCTGATAATATAGTGTTATTATCAGGTTCTCGTTTTGTTGTGAACCAAGAAATCCATAAAGATCTGCTCTTTGCCTGAAACTTGTATCAGTAGCTCCTTCACACACTTAAGTTTGGTCATTGTCGAAAGGCTTATGTTTGACAATGATTTTTCTGAGTCTTGGGCGCTAGAGATCCCATTTTAAGACCAAAAAAAATGCATATTTAGTGGAAATCGGATATAGACTATTTAACAGACTTGTTTAATGCATTAAATGATGTTAACTAGCAGCTACAAGGTGATAACCTAAATTGGATCGAAACAGAGGCATACTTTCAACATTTCTAGTCAGAATTACTGTAATTAAGCATACAATGCACGGGATGAATTTTCCCAATTTTCAAATTTAAGACAGACAAACTCAAACATCATCTAATCAAGAAGTTCTAATATTCAACCTAATTAAATTGAATCCCAATATTGACATTTTATTTTCAAAGCTGCCTACCAATAGGTGTTTTTTTTTTATTATTATTATTTTAGTCAATTCCTATAATTCATATTACATTTTATTCTGCTTCGTTTTAATTTAAATTTCATAAATGTATGTACATGGTCTAGAAATCAGTGAGAACAAAACGCATTTGAAGTTGATGAATCTTAAAAAAAAAAGCAGGGGGGTCTACCGAAAACTGGAAACATGGCAAGGGGTATACGAGACAAAAAAAAGTTTAGGAACCTCTGTGTAAGAGTTCGAGACTCTAGTGTGCACAAGTTTAAATGGAAATGTAAATCACATTTTATGCAATTTTTTAAAAGTTATTAAGTGATTTTTGTGTTGCTTATTTAAGTTTTTTAACAATTAATTTCTATTGCGTAATGGTGAGATCAAACTTAAAAGTTGCATCTAAATTTTTAAAAAATTAAAAATACAGTGATTCCTAAATTTAGAGTAATTTATATTATAAAGTAGAAAGTAAGGCGTATGTATGTGCCGAATAGAAATTAAAACCGTTTCACCAATCTTGATAAAACTTGGCAGAAATGTTCCTTGGGTGGTAACTTTGACCAAAGTGTATGTATTCTAGCCCTAAAACAAACTTAGGACTCTCAAAAAAAAATGTTGACCAACTCTATGAAAGTATAGTATCTTATAAATCTAGGTCACAAATCCATGTCTACATGAGACAAGACGAAGAGGTCACGCATGCGCAGAGATGAAAATGTCTAGGTCTAAATTAACTCTCATTCAAGAAAACATATTTTTTTACTTTTACACATGAACATACACATTAGTGACTATTCATTTCATTATTTAATGAAAATTAACCTTCAAATTTCAGTTTACTAAACAATTTTACCTAAAATCGTTCTCTCTAAATGTAAATAGCTTTAAACGTCTTGATATTTCCGTAAGTCGCGGCACCATTACATAACCGCGTAGTGATACAAATGATATGAACGTCAGAGGTAATAATATCGTGCATTATAAAGGCATATTATTAAACTAAATAACTACTTACATAATACAATTTACTTTCCAATGTGTTTTTTTTTAAAGCATTTAAGCCTACAGCTACCGATTTGGTTTTAATTTTAAGTCTTTATTTTCAATTTACTTTTTTCTTTAATATTTACTAATGTGCATTTATACCTCCTAACAACATAGCTACATATATACAAAAAATTTCATTCATCATGTCGTCCTAGATAGCGTGTAGCTAGATCTAGGTCAACACAAGCAATTTACTAGGCTCAAAGTCTTTAGTTATTTACTAGACTGGTATGGCATTCATGTTTTTTTAGATTTTACATCTATATCTACATTAAATTAAACTAACAATGTTATATTAACAGTT